AGTTCACACATACACACACACAAAACCACACAGCGTTCAGTATTCACAAACAAACAAAACCAAAAGTTCTAGTGATTTTGTGTCTTCTTCAACTTTGTTTTTTATTAGCACTTTAGCTTCATTTTCTCATGGACTCCAAGTCAGTGTCAAAATCTAGGTGAAACGCCCATTGAAGCCAATGGTAAGGTTCCCACTTAAATTAAGGGGTTTAGCTTATCAGCACAAGTCTTGCTGACAGCCTAAGAACAGCCATCATCATTGGTTACTTGTATTTGAGTACCAACATGAAGAGAATTTTACAGGAGAACAAGCAAAGCAGTGGATTCAAAATGTGAAACATTACTTCAGTATTCAATGTCATACCCAAATTCAAATAAAATTGATGCCACTGTACTACAAATGAATCAGGAAACAGATACCATGAAAGCTATGGCAAAACAATAATGATTTCTTTCTTTTCCTGTGACCAGAACAATGGAAACTGGCCCCATATTTGAAGTGGTCTGAAGATTTGCATGTGCTAAGCCCTATTTTAAACTCACAGCCTGTTTGTCCTACATTTACTTAGAGAAAAACACTCAATGCTGGTATCTCATTACTCCACATCTATACCTTACTAGTAGTTGCAAAAGCAGTTTTCTTAACATTAATCTTCTTGGTCATTAAAAGTGTGTGCAGGTACATGGAATATTTTTTAGGTAAGCAATCAGAAATAATGGCATATTGCTGTCTCAGGTAAAAGTTACATATTCGTTCTGAGAATTTTTCCTGGGCTGTTGAAGACTGTGGACAGCATTTTCTAGCTGGATTATGTTACTTTACGTACCTCTCACTTTTCAGTACAATAGCAGATAATGAACAGATACATGTAGGTTTGATGAGCAGTTGTCAAATATCAAATTTTGTAGAAGTAAATTCTCTTCATATTTTGGAAAAAAAAAGAAAGGAAAAAAAAGGAAAAAAAAAAAGAATACCACTGCTTAGAGGAAAGCCTGGAAGTGAAAGTGACAAGAGTTGTTTTGTTGAGCTGTAAACAACGGCAAACAATGACACCTAATTAAACAGCAAGAAGACTAAGGGATACCTATGACTCTTGAGCTGCACCAAGAAGTCCCACCAAAAAGTTTAATAAGTGTCAGCTCACTTTAGAAACAGTGTCACAGAACGTTATTTGTACTAGATAAGACCTATTCTCTTTCTGCATCATCAGCATTGAGGATAATTACAGGAGAAATTCAGGACATTGAAAGAACTAAGCTAACTACTCCAGATGCAATTACCTATCTATATCTACAAATCCCTTGCTTAAACACATGGTTGCCTGAATTTGAAGCGGATGTTTCAGGACTAAACAAAACCCACCAGTTTTGTCTAATACCCCAGGGTACTGAATGAATACATTGAAAGTATGTCAATTAATATAAAAGGAGGTACACAGTTCAGCAGACCAAGGAGAAGCTGTGGAAAGAAACAGGAAAAGGAAAAGACAGTTGCAAACAAAATACGTCTCTTGATTCTACTTTCAGCAACATTAGGGAATGTGGATAAAGAAAAGTCAGAATTTTAGAGTCACATTGGACCATCTTAGATGTTAACACAGAAAAATAAAATTTCTGATTGTTCTCCTCTTTCCCTGAGGATTACCTTCTTTTAGGACAATAGGCCCTTACACAAAATTCAAAACCAAATCTGAATCTCAATGTAGCATTTTCAAACAGCGAAATATTTTATGAACAAGTCCTGCTAAAGGAATCTTTTGACAACAATAAAAATATCTTCTTCATGCACGAGATGAATATAATAAAGTCTGTCACCACTTAGGAAATATATGTCAGAAAGGCCAGTTTCCATGTCTTAGTTCTCCCTTTATTCCTCCAAGAACATGTTCAAACAAGAATGACAAACCGTTCAGATTTTGTGTTTGAATCACATTACAGGGCAAACAAGCTCTCTGCTGAGTACAAAACCCCTTGCATTTTATTTAGTGCTACTCAGCACTTTAATTAGCATTGTCTTTTGCCTCGAATTTTTGGCATATAAACTACTTTAGAGCTAGAATAAAATTTTAACAGGTAAAGCCCTACCTGCTCCAAGAAGATGAAACCGGAACCTGGTAGGTGAAATAACTGGAGGGGCATGAGACTTATTTTGCTCTCTTTCCATCTCAGACTGTAGGGAAAGTGCAAAGGGAATAGTACCCAGGAAAGAAAAGACAACTGAAAAATTACCTTGCCTATGAACTTTCCTGAGTATGGAGAAATCCGTAGTGGAAGGGTGGTGATTACTAGCACCTAAGCTATGCCATTATTAACACTCTCCAGAACCATGAGGTAACAACCTAATTTAGCATCCATCTTCTAGTTGTTCTAACTACCTGCAAGCCACTCCTGAGCCCTGGCATCCCTTAGTCCTAGGACCTCAACAGCATGCTATCCTAAGGGATTAACAGAATTTAGTTACAGTGGAATATGTGGTGGGGACATTATAATTAAAGCACATTACTAAATTTTTAGACTGGTAGAGTGACAGCTCTTGCCAATACTGAGGAGATAAGAAGGTACAAATGCTTAGAAGAACAAGTTAAGAGCAATGAACAGTTCAGGAGGAAAAAAAGGGAACTGAAAACCATGAAGAATATACACAAAAGTGTTTTGATCACTATCTCCAAAGGCAGATATATAAGGGACTAGGGACAAGCACTGAAAATGAAAAGTGACTGAAGATGATGATTTATATGAAGAGAGATGGGAAATCTTGTGAGTGCATGGTCCTCAAGAAAGGCCAAAAAAAACTGATCCAAAGGAAAAAATAATCCTCATATAGTCAATAACCCCATGGCAAATAATTTTTATTATAAGGGAAAAATCTTTTTCCCAGACACATAATCTGTCAAAATCCCTGTCACAGGTATCACAAAGGCTAAGAGCTTAACAGGATTCTACAAAAGAGTATCATAAACACAGACACCATTATCTTTAAGCAAAGGTAAATAATGATAACCCATGCTCATCTTCATTTCTCAGAACTTAAATCAACAGTCAAATGGAAGCAAATCTCACAGTTGGAATACTTTCACTGTGTAACAGAGAGCAGCACAGAGGTCTCCTATCAAGCATTGATCCAAGCTGGCCTTGCTGATGGCCAGGGCACACAAGTACAGAAAAAAACAGGGCCAGAGCAGTTCTCAGCTATAATTGTGAAGGAAGTGCTTACGCCCTGAAGCACCAGGCATCAACACTACTCCCAGTCCTGGATCTAGTTCAGTCAATTGAACTTGTCTGATCTTAGCCACAGTCTATGCATCCCTGGTAAAGATGCACACACTATTCATTAATTCAGCTTTGTACTAATCTCTGAAGTTGCTGATATTGACCACTGCCAAAGCAAAGATCATTTGAACACCTACTGGTTACTTGGCATTACACTGTAAGCAATTTCCAAGGGCACATGTAATAAATACCTTCGTGAGTGCATAGACCTAAGGAAAGAACCATCCTGTTTCTTCTAGGAAACTGTTTATCTTTGCAGAAAAGTTTGCAATTTCCTGTGCATGAGTCAACTGATGGTCTCTGAGCCCAGTTCCTTCCTATACATACACACAGAGTATAGACCCACTGCTTTCATTCCACTAAAAAACTGCCAAGAAGCTTCAATCTGAAGCTACATATCAGGCACAGTCAGAAATTGCAAACAGTACCTTCTGAAACCAAAATGGACAACTCTAATGAGCCCACAACTTAAAGTCTGAAAGACATACTGAGGAAAAGGTTATTAAGTACTGAAGAGGAGATCTAAAATGCTATTCTGAAAACATTGATCTGATATAGCCAGACTGTGTGTAGACACAGTCTGGGCAGGTTTGAAAGCCTTATAGCATACCTAAGCTTACCTGCTCAAGCACAAGGCAGCAGGTACATCCAGCTAGGTCACTCCGACTCAGGTGGGGTCTCTCTACCCCAGTGTTCAAAAGAATATTCTTGATGTTCATATGCATCCAAAACTAGGTTAAGGTCTGAGTACACATCCTGAAGTTCAGGATTTTTTTCTCATGCACAAGCTCCCATGCCAATAAAATGGCACCTTGCAGGTAACAAAGACAGAAGCACAATGTTCTGCTTACTAGACAAAATAGCAAGAGCTGAGAGAAGGTAAGAGACCTAAAGACTACAAAGAAGCAGTAGTAAATATGCTCTCAAAGAAAAACACAGCTGTCTACCTGAAACCAGTGCCCAACTTACTACGCCTTTCCAAAGTGGCTCATGCATCTTTCTAAAGCTATTTCCTGGTTTCATTTGTGCAGCCTGGCAAAGTTAAATTTCGTGTTAAATTAAACCATGTACACAGACTTTGCCATTTCAGTGCCTCTCAGCCTCAGAGAGGGAGTCTTTTTACCTTACAGAAGTGCTAATTTTTACATTAATGCTTCTAGTTTCTATGGATGTGCAAACACATAAAACCGGATAGTTTTAGTCCTTCCATTACAGTTTTTTTATCTGGGTTGGAAAAAGTAGAAGGGAACTTCTGCTCTTACAGCTTTTACGTGTAACACAAGAAAACTTGTCATCCATGAAACTGGGTCTTAGTAATTATTTTTTGTTTTGTCAGATTTGCCTAAGGAGATACACACACTGTCACAATTAAGGCATTTTGAAAGAGATGAAACATAAACCCATGCTTTTGGACAGACTCTGAGATTTGTAAACTCAGGAAATAGAGAAATAAGTGTTTGTCAGCTCTTCAGTCTGACTATGAAGTAGTGATGGAAGGTTCACAGTTGCCAGTGGTAGCTTTTAGACTTTCCAAGCTGCTTCCCTGAACCAGGACTAAGAGTACAACAGTTTCATCACACTTCAGTGACAAATGCATCATCAAACCAAAACTATTGAACCAAGCTGAAGTGAGATAATTTCTCCAGAAAATCTGAATTATCACATTTTTCTCCTTCAAATGATTAAGCAAACTCTTTCATTAATCATACAAAGTTTCCCTTTTTGTATTACCTGGTTGAATAATTCCAGTAACAACAGCGATATATTCCTCAGGTTTCTGATCAGTGGAAATCTCTTTGCTGCCTCCATCTAAGGTCAGTGTCTCATAAAGAATCCTGGAACTCTCCACCCCACAAAGCAGAATTACCACATTTTCTAGAGGTTTTAGAACTTGTTCCAGAAAATAACATCTTTCTTGATTCAGGCAGTTCAGAAGTCCACATGAGAGTATCAGGAGTTTACATTTATAAGAGGGTAAACAGAATAGCTCGTGGTGCTTGAAAGTTGAAGTCTTTAAATTGTAGAGTAAGATTCTTCCTTCACTCACTATGTGTCCAAAGAGAAATTTTAAATACAGTGCCCACTCTTCTGCTTCTTGTTCATATATCACGAGGACATCCTTCGTATCTTCTAGAGAGAAGAAAAAATTTTTAGAAAATAAATTCAAATGCGTTTTGAATCTATTATAAATATTAGAAGACGTATTGCTAGTTTCCCCCCTATTAAAAACTTGAGGTACTGAAGAAATCACCTTCAGCAGAAATCACCTTGAAATGACAACCATCGCCTTATTTTTAAAACCAAGGCAGAAAGATTGCCCACAGAAATACTGGAAAAAATAGCTCAGAATATTATATGTTTAGAATAGTTTCAACTAGTATTTCAGAATACATACTGAAATTGCAATGTAGGAAGCAGAGCACATTCACACATTCTGCACACTCCTAGAGTCTTGACAATAGGTGATACTATTAAAAATTAAACACTTAGCTTTTAATGGCAGAAGTAAAGAAAAGTTTATTAAAAGCTCGACTGCATTTCTTTTCAACTATATTGATTTTTATATACGAGAAAGAGAGCTTTATTTATGTAAGAAAAGTGAGTGAAATACAGCCTTAAGCTCTGCCAGGGGAGGTTTAGGTTGGATATTAGGAAGAAATTTTTTACAGAGAGAGTAATCAGACATTGGAGTGGGCTGCCCAGGGAGGTAGTGGATTCATCGTCCCTGGAGGTTTTTAAGATGAGACTGGATGTGGCACTTAGTGCCATGGTCTAGGAACCACGGTGGTGTTGGATCAAGGGTTGGACTTGATGATCTTGGAGGTCTTTTCCAACGCAGTTGATTCTATGATTCTACATCTAACACCACACTTGATGGAAGAAAGGCTCTGCAACACACATCTCATAAAGCCTTAATTTAACAGGGTTTCCATATTTAGCTTGTCTTTTCTATCTATATACAAAGGGAAGAGTCATACTGCTGAGGAGAGACTCATACGAGCAAGGTTTTCCCTACTGCAGTTTGGTGCAATGTTTATTGAAGCAAGCAGCTAATGCTATCAAGTTACCTGTGGAAACCAAATGTAGGTTTCTCTTGAACTATAAGCATGCTTTTTTTTTTTTCCCTGCCATTGATCTGTCTTCTATATTAAGAGATGACTTCAACATTAAGCAGGAATGTAAGGCCTGCAACTTAAAAGGTGAAATATCACTGTTTTGAAATGCTTGCCTGACTTGAAGTGTGGAGTCAAAGTTTACCCTGCGAATAGCTATGATGTCCCCTATCAAAAATCTACTCCATGTACCTGCATATTGTTTTTGCCTTCAGAAATTTTACTGATACATATGCTTGAAGGCAGCTTACTTGAAAATTAAAGCCCCCCAAAACTCTGCTTTCAGAACAGTATCATTTTAGTCTGAAACAAAAAAAGTCTAGCTTTAATGCAACACTAACCAATACTGAATACACAGTAACAAAGCATAACTTTCAACTTTTTTTTCCCCTTCACTATTTCCATCTCTTACTGAATAATTCTTTGAAGTTACTGTACTTGGAATATAATGTAAGTTGAGATATTTTGCTCCCTTGAAAGTTAATGTAATAGAAACTATCATATCCTGACAAAATTAAGCTGTGCTTCAACTGCTCCTACTTGGAACCTGTCTCAAAGGTAGAAATAAAAGGTATTATTGCTTGAGCAATGAGAAACAGTAAGAGAATTTCTGCAGTCATCCATAACCTGAAAGGGTTCTTCTGACAAGCAAAACTATTCTGTAGTTATTGGTGTGTGGTTGCCCATGAAAGCATAACTCTTGAAACATGTCATCTGAAAGCCTCTTCGAAAAACCCTGCTGAATCTTATGAGAACCAAGTGAGACAGGAACATCTTTTCAGACTACTGTGACCTAGAAGGAACCAAGAAATTGCATATATAAGGCAAAAACCCATGTCGTTCGTGGCAACAATTATAAGATACAGTATGTAGTAGAGGCATTTAAAAAAAAAAGCAAGTACATTAGAGAACCACAGGAAATCTCGAGAACTCTGCAATGCACCAAACACATCCAGAAGGCAAAGGAAACAAATCAAATACTGGGGGCCAGTACCTCCTCTTAAACGGGTACCTCAGTTTATGAATCTTGCAATCTTTTAAAAGATAGCTTCTGTGTGCTTAGAAGTAACCAAGAAGTTCTTGTTAACACTCATCTTTGAGAATAACACTGCACAGGTTTGAAAAGGTTTGTAGATTATATGCTTTACTTCTAGATATCTGCATTTTACTACAGTTTTTTCTAGAAACTCAGTATTAACCTACTTTGTTTGACATAAATAAGGTTGATTTCAATTAGGGTTTAAAAACGGGCTCTACAGTCCCACTGCCTTAGGATGCTTTGTTGAAAAAAAAAAAAAAAAAGAAGTGACATTTGAAAAACAATGTTTACCCAAGTTTTAACTGAAAGACGGATCACCATCTTTCTCAGGATCATCCAGAATATTTTCCAGTTAGGGTACTGGAGCACAACAATGTCCTTCCCTGCTGTTCACTCCCCTGTGCCCAGGAATTCCTGTGACCACATAACAAGCTTGCCACAGTCAACCCTAACAAAAACGTAATCCAAGTCTGTTTACAACCCTCACTTCAATCACATTAGCCTTTGATACCTGCGTGAAGAAAGCTCTCTTTCAAACTGTTCTCCACCACTATGCTGAGAAAGGAGAGGGTCAACTGCTAGAGAAAGCATAAAATGTGTCCCTTTTATTTCTTCCCATCACAGATGTCCTCACTTGGGGAAGGTTGCTTCTCTTTTTTTTTTTTTTAATTAGCAGTCTTAAGAAGAAAGATATCTGAGAAAGAAGTGTACGAACTCTGTCAATATATAATGAGTTACTGTCCATCAGCAAAAACTTGTTAAAATAAGGACAAAGGAGAAGTGGAAATACACAGAATAGAAGTTCTTGCTCACTTTCTTAAAATATATTGATGAAAAATTGGGGCCAACATAAGTGATATGGAATGACACCCACTGCATCTTTAATTTTGTGACAGTAGACTACACTGTCCAGGATTACCATGAGTATCCTCTCATGCTAAAAACTTAACACAAAAAGAAGTAGTATTTTTTTTCCAGACAAGGAGTGTAAGGATAGAGCTATTTAAGAATTTACAAGTTGACTGCACTTATCTGATTAGACTTTTCTGTATCTCCGATTCTAGTTTCATTATCCAAATCAAATATCACCCAAAGGGAATGCATGATGTTCTCCCATGGGTTTCCCTTCCACAGAAACATGCCCATCTTCACCTAGAGAGTCTTAAGTCTATGGTTTTTAAAACAATTAGGGTTTGGAAAATGTCTGTTTTTCCTCTAAGGCATCTCCTCCTCCCCTTCCTCCACATTTCTTTCACCCTGTAGGATAAAACTATGGGTATAATCATGAGAAACATACTGAGGCATAAAATAACCCAGACTCCCATCTTTGCTCAGAGATTTTCTTCTAATCTCAAGAAGATTCATTTCTATTTGGGCTGTATATAGGATGAGAATGGTAAGCATACATACTAGTTCAAATGAGACTTCAGAAACTAAAGACCTTTACTCTCTTGGCCTCTTTGCAATCTTTTCATAGAGACTCAGCCATTCATCTCTTCACATTGCTTGCCCTGATCACTTACAGTGATATAATAAGAAATCATGGAAAAAGTTTCACTAGCACTTCAAACAACCCCTGCAATATAACATTTGGAAATGAAGTGAACGTTTAATTCAGCACTAATCAGTGACCTTAGCACAATGAATTGCCCCTCACCCATCCAGAAGGTGTTGATTTTCCCAGTCAGCACACCTCACACACATCCAGTAAATGTGTCTCAAAATGCAACTCTAGCTCTTGGTTGCTGGAATTCTGAAAGGCAAATCCCCTGAAGCAAGCCAAAATGCATTCATCGCAGGAAGGACAGCAGAAAGCACTTCAGAACTGGCTGCAGATAATGGAAAAGGCAGTCACGTTGCTTCTCTGAGACATTCCAGTAATGGAAATGAAAATTATAAAAGCCACTGGTAAACTTTACAATGAGATCAGAAAGCAGCAAAATTGATGCAGCACTGTGGCACACCTGTTTCAATTAAAGCAATTACCCTAAAACACAGGACATTCCTCCCACCACTGTATCAGCCAGCAGAGTGGCTGCGCTTCTATTTTCAGAGGCCTATCTAACTAGCATGAAATAAGAGCATTTTCACCATTTATGTACTTTCTGTTGCTAATTGCTAAGTTGTATGTGAAAACAAACACTTGCTCTATCTGTATAAAATCAATCCTGACATCTTCATCCTTCTTACTAAGCTTAGTAATGCCTGGACTTGGTAAAATGAGGTTCTACAGAGAGGAACAATTTTTCTACAAATGGGGTGAGTTTAGGGTTGATCTTGTTGGCTTTCTATGTAAAGAAATTCCACTGACCTTCCCTACAGTGACAATGGGAACAGAGTAAAATAAGTTCCTAGGGTATCTTTGACTGCATGGACCTGGCACAGGTAGACTAGAAAGATACCTGACTATCAAACCTTACAAAGCTGACATTATGCACAAAAAGCTGTTCCTCTTTAAGTGATATGGCCCTATTCCCTTGTTTAGGCTTCTCTCTCTGACCTGTCCTATGAATACACACAGCTGAATATCTAAAGATGGGCAGGTTCATTTCTAATGAACATGACTAAACACAAACACAGGATATAGAAGTCAGAACTCAGTTCTCTATTTATATCTCCTCCTTTATCACAATTACCATGAGGCAAAATTTCATGTCATTGCAGTCACTTCCTCACACCTTTGGTAGATTTCAGCAGAAAACAACCGGGTAATTCAGAAAAGGTTTAGACATGAACAAATTACGAAGAGAAAAATACATCATAATGACAGTATAAAGAGCTGAGTAATATAGTATTTTTTTATGACTGCTGTGGAAAAAGCCTTTAAGGTCACACAAAAACCTGAGCAAGCTGTATCAAGTTTGTATTAACAGATGCTATTGCTACTAGAAGCAACCATCCCCTGAAGCTTTCCCTTACGCTGTCACTACAACTATAGTTTCATAAACAGGAAACAGTTAAAGAAAAAATTAATTTAA